TTATTTGGTATGTTACTAACATTAGTATAAAAAAGAAGGCTTAACTGCCATCGACAATCAAGAGCAAAAAAAAAGACGATTGGGTAAGTACTTTATTTCTTGTTTATCATATTTATTCTTTATTTATTATTACACAAGTAACTAAAATCTAAAAATATGGGTCTTTTTAAGTTACTTAAGACTAGATTAGGTAAAATAAGTAATAATAATATAATTAAAATAGTTCACGAGGCATGGATGCGAACAACTCTTAGTAACTTGTGGGTAATGTAATTCAATAGTGTAACGTGACCTGCACATTCTCAGAGTGATTTACAACTTATAATGGCATGGACAGTAGTTATACACAGTTCAAAGGGCTATAAAACAATAAAATTTAATTATAAATAGATGTATACTGTTAAGAATTTCAAGCTACTTAGGATATATAAATGTAGTTTCATGTTACAATTTGAAGACATTCTAGAAAGAATAAAAAAAAGGGTAATTTAAATTTATTTTGAACTTCTTTCAGTGGTTACAAGGTTGGTCAATTTGACCAACCTCATATATGGAGTTAGGGTAGAGTAAATAACAGTTAAAATACAGTCTTATAATTACTTGGAAGATTTTAGAGATTACAAAAATGAAATTTCAAAATTTACAGATGAATGAGTATTTTTAATCTTAATATGAAAATCACTATGCACTCAGGCTAATAAACAAAACTACACAATATATTCACATACAAATCTATTAAAAATACTCAAGTAAAAAATATAATTTTGGTTATTGACAGTTTGCCAAATTTTGTGAAAATACACACTGTATTAAAAGTAATAGTATGGAAACTGTAAGGAGTATAAAATGTTTACAATGTCTGTTAATACGACAGAGCCCACATGGAAAGAGTTAAGACTGAAGCAAGTCTAGTTTTAAAACATGTTTTTCTATAACTGATTCTTCAAATTTATAAACTATTAAATTGCAGAGCCTAATGTTTTATTTTTTATCAATTTACTAGCTTTCCTAACACAATCTCAAGGTTGTGCACAAAGTCCATATTAACAAATAGTTATTTTCATGTTTTTTCCTTCTGACTCAAAGCATTATTGCCAATTAGTTTAACCCTTGTAAGCTAAAATGTTCTGTAAAGCAGAGAAGTGACAATGGTTACTGCTATTTAGCTAATTTGATGCTGACACAGAAGAATTGTAAAAGATACTGCCCAAATATTTTTATTCTGGTGAAAAAAAGTAGTTTAATTGTATTACTACTTCATATCAATTCACATTTTTAAAGTTTGTTACTTGTAAAAGATTAAGCATTTCTGGGAACCATTTCTGCTTCTATAGTAAATCAAGCAAATCACTAAACTATTAATGTTAAAGGTTTACCAAAAAACGATAGTATAAAAAATTAAATACACAAATGTAATGCTTAATTATTGAAAATACATTAATTTCTTGTATTTTAAATTGATCAAATATCCTCTGCCCCTACTTCAGCACTGTCAAACATCCACTAAATATCTCACTTACTTTGCTGAAGCCTCTTCTCTTTCCTTACGAGTAAATGCCCATTGTAACTGCTTTAATTCATTTTTTGCTTGTCGTAGCTTAATTGTATTTTCTTCAATCACATCTCTCATCACATCAAATGTTAGTACTTGATCAGCCAACACTTTTAGAATCTTCACTTTTTCTCCTAAGAAGAATCATTTGGTATATAAATACCAAATTGCAACAATATAGATAAATGCAGAAGTTTGTAATTTACAGAGAAATCTTAAAAATGTACAAAATGTATAAATTTCTACTTAATGAAAAATACTATCAGCTCTTACCAGTAGACAGTTCAAAAATGCTGACACATGAGAGCTTCTTCAAAATGTTTCCTTCTTCTATATGAAACCACAATCCTGGATCTTCTTTTGAAGTGAGATTCCTTCTTGTTTTGCCCAGGGCACCAGAGCTCAACAAGTGCAAGCGTAGGACTTCTGTTATGGTGAAAGCATCCAGTGGCATATGTTTGAGACTGGTTCCTAACAGTAACAAATCATACATTAATCACCATACTCTATACAAAAATATTATGTCATCTTATTGAGATTCTTTATTATTTTGAAGAATGACCCCTCACATTACAACTGAAGAGTTTCGCAGTACCAAAAAGATTACAGGATAGAAGCAGCTTAACTTCTGACATTAAAAATACCAGAAATATTACAGGACAGAAACTGTCCACTCTTTGGGTTTAACTCTATCGAGACGATAGGGGTCAGAGGGCATGTCATTACGTTTCTAGACTTACATTCAAAATTTTATTGAACTTTCTATTTTATGAATGCATGTCAATAAACTTAGTATCAAATTGTAGAATATAAATCAAATTTTAGTATTCTACATTAGTTAATTTCTTAATTTAAAAATAAATATAAAAACCAATTGCTAAATATTGATTTTTGTGTGTCACACTGGTACGTAGTCTTCTGGGTTTGGTCAGATTACATTTTATGAGGCCCACCATACAATGTCTATAGTTTCATACAAATTATAAACTCAAATTTCTGATATTAGCAAGGTAGAATATAGAATAAGAACTTTATCATTTTTAGTTGCTGAGATATCATAATACTTACTGAATCGACCAACTGGAAGTTCTACATATCCTCTATGTAATTCTGTTAGTCTTTGCAAGTTATTTACGAGAGAAAACCTCTTATATCGTTGGAGAGTTTGAAGTATTATGATAAATGCTCTTTTCTGATGAGAAATTAGATTTTTTTAGACCCAAATACAGCATAGTAAGAAAGCCTAGTAAATTACAATAGATTTTTGAGGTATCGGTATAGTCATTTATAATTTTTTTGGTATTCAAAAATGCATATATAAAGTCTACAAAATTTTTTTTTCTACCTCCACATGTGAATTTGGACAAGGCTTACAATGAGAGTTAGCAAGCACGACTCGCGAGCACAAAAAGGAACTTCAAAACATTGCAAGTAGTGGAGATTATTGTTTTCCAAACATTTTTTATTTGCTGTTCTATGTTTTAAGAAAAATAACAGAATTTTAAATATTTGTAAATAGTAATAATATATATAGATTTTACACACACATATGGAATGTATGGTAACTGAAACCTTACTGTACCTTACAAAATATTGGAAACTACACATTTATTGGTTACTGTGTAAGTATGGTACAATGAGAAAGAGGATGGTCATAACCACTTTCACATCTATATTACCATTAAATCCTGACCACCAATGTTTACTGGATCAGATACAACTTTGTACAGAACCATATCATAGATATTTTCTCTCTCTTTTATATAGTACTTTAGACAATTCTTGTTGCAACTACTGTACTGTGTAAACAAGCCAATAAATCCTACCCCATTGTGTTTACACAGCTGGGATCGAATAGACTATATGAAACATTCGCTTATCAATCAACATTTAAATACCTACCATGTTTATTGGATCAGCCCAGACTTTCTACAAAGCCATTGCATAAGCATTTTATAATAGTTTAGACAATTCTCATTGTAATCATTATACTGTCAACAAGTTGATAAATCCTACCCAACTGTGTTTTCAAAGCAGGGAAAGTTCTGAGAATTGTGCCTCAAAGCTTATTTGGTATTGACAATGTCAAAGTACAGTAACATCTAACCAGGAATGGCGATTCATTTCTTTATATACAGCAGGTTTCTACTTCAGCCACTAACAGTAGAATAAACATAGGAAATATGTGTAAAAAGATTAGAAAAAAACTCAAGAGATTTACTTTGGAACTTCATTGTCTATATTGAAAAGGACAGACAGTACTATTCATTTTGTTTTTTTCTAGGTCATCTGCTGGAAATAAAATAACTACAGAAAATAAGTGTGTGAAAAGGTGAGAAGTGTAAACTCTGACCATAAATACTTTGAAATTTTATGTTCAATACTAACAATACTATACATTTTATTTTGCACTTGCAACCTTTATTTTCATTATACTTTGATTACTTACCCACAACCTGGAGAATCAAGTATAATGTTACAATAAAGAAAATAACAGATAAAATATAAAGTTTTACTGAAAATAAAAATGTTTGATATTTAATTACAAGGTTTTCTTATTTTTCATTTGTTTTCATTATTAATTATTATAAAAGTAACTAAAATGTAAAAAGTAGAAACTTATTTGGCAAGATAATGGAAGAAAAATAATAAAAACCTTCATGGGGTATAAACACCAGCAGCACGTGCGCCATGTGATTTTCAACTTGCATCGAGTATTTCTTTTTTTTTTTTATTATTATTCAGACACAGTTGAAAGGTCAATAAAACAAAAATTAATAAATATAAATAGATTTATACTGTTATGAGATTTGAGCTATTTAGAACAAATATTTGTGATTTCCTCTTACATTTTGCAGTTATTCTAAAACAAAAAAAAATGTAATTGAGATTTATTTTCTAATGTGTATGATGGTTATGAGGTCAGTCAAATCGGCCAACACCATATTGAGTTAACACTGATAAAATAAATTAAATATTAATTTCTATTAAAAAAACGTTTGATGATTATCTAGAAGGATAGAGATTACACAAATGAAACTTGTCAATTTTCAGATAAAGAAAAGTATTTTGAATCTTAAAACCAAAATTACTTTGCATGTTGGATAGTCAACATTCTCAAAGAAAAAAAATTCACAAGAAAATCTTTAATAAAAAAATCTTAATACTTAATTTAAAAACCTGATATTTTGTGTATGAAAACCTAGTGATGTTTACTAATAATCTACAAAATTTTGTAAAGATACGCATACATTATAAAAAATTATACTATAATTACTCTCATGGATACTTTCGTGGTTATGAGCTTGGTTGATCCCACCCAGCCTGTATTCATAGGGTTAACAGTTCCAGAAAGATCTCAGCCTTACCATGATAAAGCTGTGGCCAGCCTGAAGCTACTGTAGCTGCTTGAACAGCTTTTGTAAATGTTAGGTCTTCTTCTCCTTGAAGTTCTCCTGGTTATAAGAAAACAACAAATAAAAAACAACCACCTTTATAAATGTTAGCAATACAATTTTAGTACAAAAACATACTTGCAACATTTTACACTTTACACAGCAATTTATGGCTGTATGAACTAAACAGAGGATCAAAGCTTTAATCATCTTTCAATGTTTTGGCCTTCAAGTTTTTAACGATTCAAGGATATTAAACAGTAAGTTTTTATTTGCTAAACATACATAAATTTAATATATGTTTGAAACATTACTATCAATTGCTTTTCTCTATGAAATTCAGAACAGAATGATTCTTATGTTCATATGTCTTCATAGAAATAAATGGTAAAATTCATATATTGGAAAAGAAGCTTTTTGAATTATTTCTATCACCAAACTCAAGTGTTGGAAAAGACTTCAGCTTCACATTTCACACTAACTGGCAACACTCAACTTCACATTTCAACATTACTAGTAAGGGTCAGCTACACATTAACAACATTGTGAAGACAACTTCATAATTTAAATTCAACTTTATTGGATGTTAGCTACATCATGTTCTCAATTTTATGCAGCTAATTATTTCTGGACTGTGTTTCTAATACTATCAACCAGACTCTATAAAGTCATGTCCTCATGAAGATGAGATAATTCATTATCTCGTTGATCTGATGCTATCTTACCACAAAAGAGAAGAAAGTATAGATTTTGGAGAAGCTTTTCTTTTCAAACAATTAGATGAAAATTCAAAATCTCTACAAAGTTTCAAACATCAAAAGGCTTAAGCTTTATAAACAGTTATGTATCCAATAAACTGGTTTCAACACTACAAATTCATCTTAAGGACAAGATATATATGTACCTGTTTTAATACTAGCACTTTCCACCTTTAGAACAAGATAAATCTACTTATTTAAACACTGAAACTTTCTACCTTAACCCTCTGGCTATGGTTGGTCAAAGTGTGCACATCTTAACCTTTTACCAAGTTACATTCAAAATTTAATTATACTACACTGATATCAGTGTAAACAAATAAACTTAGCATCAAAACATAGTTAATAAATCATATTTTAATATTATACAAGTTAAGTTCTTAATTTTATAAGAGAATATTAAAAAAATGAATAATATCATCTAGAATGAGAATTGTGACATAAGTATACCTTATTGTCTAATTTATGTTCGCCGAGTGATTTACAACATGTGTAACAGGAATATTAGCAAGATATAGTTCCAAGGGCAATAAAATTAAATATAAACTTATGTAGACTGTTGTGAGCTTTAAGCTATTTAGGATAAACAGTTGTGGTTTTCTCTTAAAATCTGAAATCATTCTAGAAAGAAAAAAGAAAGGGTAATTTGGATTTATTTTATATTTCTTTATGATGGTTACAAGGTTGATCAAATCAATGAAGCCCGTATAGAGGGGTAGAGAAAATAGCAGATACAAGATGAAATGTTACTGAAAAAAAAGCAAGATATTTATTTAAGTTTTAGAGTAGGGTTGGATGAAATACAGCCCACAGGCCAAATCCTGCCAGCCATAACTCTCAACAATTGTGGAAAGAAGATAATGGGGTCTTTATACAATCGATGTTGAGGTCATTTAATTAATATAGCAGAAATGTGCAGCCCGTAACAACATAAAATTCATGGCGTGACTCCCCTGAGAAAATTATTGCCCACCCCTGTTTTAGAGGTTACACAAACATTATTTGAAAGTTTTCAGATGAAGAAAAGTATTTTTAATCTTAATATAAAAATCACTGAGTCCATATATTCATGGACAAATATTTAGTAAAAATACTTAATTATAAAATCTGATTCTTTATGTACAAAAGACTAGCAACATTTACTGAAAGTTTGCCAAATTTTCTCAAGATACACAAAATATATTAAAAGTTATAGTATGAAAACTCTGTTGGTTACCTTGTGGAATGAATTAAATACATGTCTACCTGTCTGAAACTGGTACTATTCATCCTAAGAACAAAATAAACCTACCTGTGATGTCTTATAACTGGTAGCACTTTCCACTATAAGGACAAGATAGACCTACCTCTGATGTCTTATAACTGGTGACACTTTCCACCTTAAGGACAAGATAGACCAAAATGTCTTAACAATGAGAGTATCTACCTTAAGGTAAAAATAAATCTACCTGTCTTAACACTGGCATTATCTACACTATCTTCATCACTTTCCTCTTCCTCCTCTTCCTGAAACCTAAAGATGGCTGTCAGGAACATCTGTATCAGATCATTCAGTGGCCCTTCTATGTCAGTTTCTAGCAGAGCTTTTTCCAGATGTTCTAGTTTGCACAAGAAATCTTTAAATTGTCTCATTTGTAGAAAACAAGCATAAAAACTTGAAGATATTTTCAAGCTTATCAATTTTTGAAGAGTAAAAATTTCTTTCTGGGATTAAATGAAACTAAAGGAATGAATTGGAATATATTTTGTTTTTATATAATCTACTTTCTAAGCAGTCTACATAAATCATATATTTGATACAGGAAGCACAATTTAAATAATGTGAATAAGATGAAATACAAACCTAGTGTGAACCCTTGTGGAAAAAAATCTTTCATTTCTAGAAGTTCCCCAAAGCTGTTCAGAAATTCTAATATCATTACAGCATCCCCAAAGGATTCCTGTGGTATACAACAGTCCAAAGAAGTTGGAACAGGAAGATCCTGCAATATACAGTTTATACATTCAATAAAGTGTGAAATACAACAATCTAAATAAGATGGAAAAGTCAGATCCTCCAACAGTTTCCATCCTAAAAAAGAAAGAAAAAGTTTCAACAATTTAAACAAGTTGGAAAAGATGTACCAAGTATGTGGAATATACAGCTTATACATTTAACCCTCTCTGCATGGGCATCTTTTTCTGCACCTGTATTACTTAAGTACCACTAAGAGCTTTTTAATTACCATTAAACAGTTTTAAAAAACATGTCTACATTTTATTAAACTCATGCAACAAACACTTTAAATACTTGCACATAAGAGTGATCATTTGACATGTCTAGTGACAGCAATAGCCTTATAAATGCAGAAATATTGCCATTTTACAGTTTCAAGGAATACCAATAAATATAGCATATGAATGTAGCTAATAATCCATATTTTAATAGTATAAAAGTTTTACATTCTTACTTTTATAAGGCAATATTAAATAAAATCCAGAATCTCCCATAGTGTGAAAATTGTGGCATTTGTTCTCTAAGCATCCCCTCTTCTCTAATTTATTTACCACCCCTCCAAGAAATATGAAATTAAAGTAAATTTCTTATTATAATATTGTCATCCCTCTAGCAAATCATAATTTTATAGCATTCAATCTTAATTGGTTACAGAGCTATGAAATAGACAACCAGATCCCTCTTGCCATACCCACCTGTCACATCCACTTTTAGAAATTGCTCATAGTTTTCTCTGACATTTAATACTACATTATTTATAACAAGCAGAAAGCCAAGGTTTATCTATGAAGTTATCTATTATATTACATTGTTTTCTGTCAATTTTGCTTTCAGTTAAAGCTTCATTCCCACAAGAAACACATTGACAAGCTAAGTTTTAACAGCTCTTCTCGCATAGTTAGAAAGCCAGAAAATTTCTGGTAGCTGAGCGACATTGTCTTCTTTTTGCACTTTATTATTATTTTATGTTTTTTGGTGCATTACTTAATGAAATAAAAAATTATCTAGTGCATTACTACTATTAGTATAAATAAAGTAGGGTTAAGTGTCATCGACAGTAAAAAAAAAGAAGACCGAGGTAAGTAATTTTTTTTCATGTGTATATTTTACTTATAATTATAAAAGTACCCAAAATGTAAAAATAAGAAACTTTCTTTGTTAGTTAAGGTTAGATTAGGTGAAATAAGTCAAAGATGATAATAAAATTTTTTCACAAATTATGTTCTAGAGTAGCTTGTACATAATATAATTCAATGTCATTGTACAAAGAAAAAAATGTAATTTAGATATATTCCGATTTTTTCTGGTGGTTAAGAGGTCAGTCAAATTGATCAACATAGTATAAAATTAGGTTAGAGAAAATAACAGGTAAAATATAAACTTTTACTGAACCCCCCCCCCCAAAAAAAAAATTTAAATATATTTAGGAGGTTATAGAGATTACATAAATAAAATCTAAGATTTTTGAGATGAAGTGTTTATAATTTAACGTGAAAATCAATTAGCATTCTGACCAGTATATAGAAATACTACATACATTCATGGACAAATCTTTAATAAAAAAATCTGATTTTATGTGTCCCAAAGACTTGTAATGTTTGCTAAAAGTCTGCCAAATTTTGTGAAGATACACAAAGTGTATTAAAAGTTATAGTATGGAAACTATAATGAGAACAAAATGGTTCCAAGATTGGTTGATTTAACCATTTCACGATAGGATCAGTATAATATACACAAGTATTTATACTATAACTTTTACTGCAGTAAATTTAAATTAAGCTTTTTTGTTCTAGAATGACTACCATTTATAACAACACAACAGTCACATTTTAATTATTATACATTATATATGTATATACATTAATACTTTATACAGATAAGTTCTTAAACTTATTTTTCTTAAAAAATAGAACAATAAATACAGAAGTAAAGCAAACAATTATCTCTTCTAGTTACAACCTTGTACTCGTTTGCTGCTTGTCGTAGGTTGCTAAACCTTATGAAATTTCCCACATAGAGGATATGAAAAGAATTTTTTTTGTTTTATAAATTTTTTTTGTTTTTATTTTATATATATATATATATATATA